CCGGGCACAGGCCGCCCAGCCGTCTCCTTCAGGCGCCCGTTAAGGACGCGGTGTCCGGGCTGCGCTCGGAGGCCGTTCCCGCTTCCCCCGCGCCCGGACATCACCGCCCGCCTCCCTGTCCCCCAGCATCACGGTGGTCACCTGGAACGTGGGCACGGCCATGCCGCCCAGCGACGTGACGTCCCTGCTGCACCTCAAGGCGGGCGCCGCCAAGGAGGCCGACATGATCGCCATCGGGTAGGGACCCCGCGCGGCCCGGGAGCCCTCCCGCCGCGGCTGCCGCTGCGCGAGCCTCAAGGGCACCGGGGGTGCCTCCCGCCGCCGCCTTGGCCCCGCGCCCCTGGAAGCGCCTCCCGCGCCCCTGGAAGCGCTCGCTGCCGGCGGCCGCGGCCCCAGCCACGGGGCACGCTTGGCCCCTCGGGGCAGCTGCGGGGCCGGCGGGAATCGCTGAGACCGGCGGGAGCTGGAGGAGCTCGGCCTGTGCCCGGGAGCTTCCCGGGGAGACGCCGTCTCCCTGTGCCGGGGAGGCAGCAGCAGGAGGCTGCGGCTGCCCTGGCGGCCCCGGAGCTGCTCCCGGCTCCACAGACGGGTGGGATGCAGCCGTGGAGGCCGCGCTGGAGTGCGTGGCGGGACCGGCCGCGCTCCGGCGGGGGTCTCCTGCCCGGCTCCCTCCTGCCCATGGCCGGGGTATCTTGTCGGGTGAGCAGCTCCCCACAGGCTGTCCCTGCCCCAGCCCTGCGCCTGGCGCAAGGTGCTTCCCAGCTCCGCTCTCCGGACAGCTCCTTCCCTCCGCTCGCTGCCGGCCGAGCCGGGAGGAGCCGCGTTAACCTGTTTGCTGCTGTGCGAGCTTGGTGGCTGGAGGGGCTCGGGGACCCACACCGAGGTCCTGCTGCAGCTTCTCAGCACCTTTTGTGCAGCTGGAGTGGAGGCTGCTGTTCAGGCTGTTGCTTAGCCCTGTGCCAGGGAACCCTCCTGCTTGGAGCGCTGGTTCTGCTGTGGGTCCTGCAGTGGGTTGGGAGCAGGGATGCTGCTGGGGTGGGTGCCAGTGCAGGGTCCCGAGGTGCCCAGCGCTGCCCATCGCCGTGGCCGCTCCTGGCTGGYGCAGGCAGCTCTGCAGGGCTCCCTGCGCCGCTGCTTCCAGGCTGCAGGAGGTCAACTCCAAGCTGAACAAGCGCCTCAAGGACGCCCTCTTCACCGACCAGTGGAGCGAGCTCTTCATGGACGTCCTGAGCCCCTTCTCCTTCGTCCTGGTGAGGAACTGGAGCCGTGGAGCTYGAGGGAGGGCTGCAGGACGGGAGGGACAGCCCACAACCAGCTGCAGACTGGGACTGAGGTCTGGGACACCTTGCCCGCTTGCTGCCTGGCTCCTGCCTYCCTGCTCCCTCTCCTGCTGCCTTCGGCTTCCCCTGTGGTGCGTTAGGGCACCTGCAGCCGCCGCTGCACCAGGCTGAGGGCTGGATGCAGACCCAGCCTGTGGAAGCCAGGGCAGGTTTGGCCCCTGCAGATGCTGTGAGGGCACCGCGTAGGCTCTGACATCCCTGGAGCTCTAGGGGCTGCCTCTGTGTCTGGGCACGGCCGTGGCCCTGCTCGTACGGACTGTGCGGCGGTCGCGCGTCAGCCGCTGTGCTTGTTGCAGGTGAGCACGGTGCGGATGCAAGGCCTGTTCCTGCTCCTGTTTGCCCAGTACCGCCACCTGCCCTTCCTGCGGGACATCCAGACGGACTGCACGCGCACGGGCCTGGGCGGCTGCTGGGTGAGTGCGGCCCGGCGCGCCGCCGCGCCGTCCCCTGCCAGCCACGCAGCGGCTCCCCTTGGCGCAGGGCAACAAGGGCGGCGTGAGCGTCCGCCTCTCCGTCTTCGGCCACATGCTCTGCTTCCTCAACTGCCACCTGCCCGCGCACCTCGAGAAGGCGGAGCAGCGCAAGCAGGACTTCGCCACCATCCTGCACATGCAGCAGTTCGAGGGGCGCGCGGCCAACGGCATCCTGGACCACGAGTGCGTATCCCTCCCCCCCCGGCCCCCTGCTCCGAGCTGGGGGTGCGGAGCCGGCTCGTCCGGGCCCGGCTCGGAGGCGGCGACTTGCACGTCCCTCGGCCCGGGATGGCCGCATGGAGGGGCAGGTGGCACGCATGGGCCTGCCGCTGTGCCGGGCGCGTGGGGCCGGGCCCGGGGTGCTGCGCTCGCGCAGGCGCCGGGCCGTGGAAATTTCCGTCCTCTCGCATCTTTCCGCCCGGGAAGCCTGGCCTGGTTGCCTGCCGGTGCTCGCTCCGCACCTAAGCTAGTCTGGCGGGCGGCCAGGCTATCGGCTGAGCGCTGACCTACATTGGTGCTGCCGCGAGCGCCGGCGCCCGCCGGCCTCGTCGCGCCTCGCCGCGCGGCCCGGCCCCTCTGACGCGCCACCCCTCCGTCCCCAGCCTCGTGTTCTGGTTCGGGGACCTCAACTTTCGCATCGAGAGCCTCGACATCCGCTTTGTGAAGTACGCCATCGACAGCAACATCCTGAGCCAGCTCTGGGAGAAGGACCAGGTGAGAGGCGAGGCGGCTGCTGTGCGGTCCCATGGGACCCGCTGGAGGTCCCACGTGTGTCACGGGCACGTCCTGCTGCTGCCCGCCTGCCACCCGTGGGACACAAAGGGCTAGAGCCCCAGCTCCCGGGCAAAGGGCAAGCACCGCCTCGGGGTGTTTTCCCTCGGATGTTTTCCTTGTTTTTTCTACACATTCACTAGCAATTCTTTTCTCATGTCTGGAAGAGCTGGTGGCAGTGGGACTGGGGACCTGCACGGCAAGGACAACCCGCTGCGCCTTGCCCTGTAGGGCGGGCAGCAAGGGGGGCAGYGGCTGCCGCGGGCGGCCTGGCTGGGCGCAGGGAGCGCATGGGGTCCGGCCACGGTGCCGGGTTTGCCCCTGACTTGCTCTTGCTCTCAGCTGAACATTGCCAAGAGCACCTGGCCTGTGCTGAGCGGCTTCCAGGAGGGGCCTCTGAACTTCCCGCCCACGTTCAAGTTTGACGTGGGCACCAACAAGTACGACAGCAGGTACGAGGAGGGCGCTTGGGTCGTGCAGGGGATGGGAGCCGCAATGGGGGCTGGAGGCTGGAGCCGGGGCTGTGCCGGGCAGTGCTGAGTGTCGGGCAACGCTGCCCCTTGGCACCCTGCAGTGTCAAGAAGCGGAAGCCGGCCTGGACCGACCGTATCCTCTGGAAGATCAAGTCTCCCGGCGCTGGCTGCCAGCCGGGTCGGGCTGGCCTCTCCGTGAGCCAGCTCTGCTACTGCAGCCACATGGAGTACACTGTGAGCGACCACAAGCCCGTGGCCGCCGTCTTTGCGGTGCAGGTGAGACCCTCGTGCCGGGCAGCTCTGTGGGGCTCCCCTGGGGCTCTTCCTCCCGCTGGGGGTGGGGGTCCACAGCGGGCAGCAGGACCCCCTGGTTTGGGAGCCAGAGGCAGTGCGGCTGTAGGGGCACGACCGGCCTGCTGCCCCGTGGCTGCTGCCGCCGGTGCCTCCTGCCCTCGCTCCTGCCCTGCGTGTCCCCGGCAGTTTGCRTCTAAGGCCGACAGCCCCCCCGTGGAGATCTACGTGGCTGAGGAGTGGAGCAGGCCCGAGCAAGCGGTGGTCAGGTACAGGATGGCCGCCGGCTTCCACCGCAGCTCCTGGGACTGGATCGGCCTCTACCAGGTAGCGCCTCCGCAGCCGAAAGGAGCRGGGGGCCTTGCTGTTCTGGGGCTGAAAGGAGCTGGGGTGCATGGCTGGAGCCTCCTGCAGCTCGGGTCCCCTGCAGGCTCCCTCCCTTGGAGAGAAGCTCCCAAACCTCAAAGCAGTCGCATCTTGCAGCCTCCCCTTCCTCCCACTCCCTGGTCTCCATGAGGCCCAAGGCCAGACGTGCCAGGGGCAGCTGGGTGCCTGGCTCTCTCCCCAGCCCCGCGCGTGGCCTGTGGTCACCCTGCACCTCCCAGAGCCMGTAGTCCAACCTGCTGGCCCCGAGGCTAGGACACAGCAGAGCCAAACATGAGCTGAGTGCAGGGAGACGGGGTCGAGCACAGTGGAGGGCGTCACTGCTGGCGCCTTCCTTGCCTCATCCTTGGGCCCTGGTGCGTGTGCCCGCGCAGGTGGGTTTTCGGCATCCCAAAGACTACGTGTCCTACGTCTGGGCCAGGAGCGAGGAGGATGACTGCTGCGTGGAGAAGCAGGCGTGGGCGCAGGTGAGGAGCACCCGGGGGCCGTGGTGGGGAGGGCACCGGCCCTGCCTCCGTGCTCTGTCTGACCTCGGCTGGCGGCTGCGCCGGCGCCCCGGTGCCCACGGGCTGCCCGCGGCTGCAGGTGCTGTTCTCGGAGGAGGCACTGCCCCAGGGCCGAGGCGACTACATCCTCGGCTACTACAGCACGGCCTCCAGCAGCATCGTGGGCGTGACGGAGCCCTTCCAGGTCAGCGGCGCCGGGGCCGCGCGGGCACGGCCGGGTCCTGGCGGCGGCGGCGCTGATGCGGGCGCCCTGCAGATCTCACTGTGCAGGTCCGAGGAGGGCTCCGACGAGGAGGACGACAGCACCCTGGTCCTGCTGGCCTCCACGTCGCGCAGCCCCAGCCCGGGCAAGATGAAGCAGCACCGGAGCCGCAGCCCCACCCTGGCCAAGTTCCAGGGCCTCATCCTGCGGCCGGCAAGCCGTGAGCGGGGCGCCAGCCGCAGCCCCTCGCCCCAGGGCCGCCGTGGCCTCGCGGGCCACCTGCCCGCCCTCCACCTGCCCAAGCAGGAGCGCGGGGCCAGGGCCAAGGACGCGGCGCCGACCCCSGAGGGCCAGAACGGCACCTCTGGCTACCAGACGGCGTGGGACCAGTGTGGTCTCTGGCACGTCTCTGGGGACACGTTCCTGGCCAGGGCTGACCCCCGGACCCTGGGCCTGCTGCCCGCGCTCCGCTTGGAGACACTTGACCCCGTCGCGGGCCCGCGCAGAGAAAGCGTGGACCAAGGCTACCCGGGCAGGAAGATGAGCCCCAGCAGCCCCGTGGGGGCCCCCCTGGGCAGCTCCCCGAGGGACGAGGAGCTGGCGCCGGGCGCGGGACAGCCCTAGCCCTGCTCAGGACACAGCTGCAGCGGCCCCGGGCCTTGGCTAGGGCGCTTGCTGCCTGCTTTGCTCCACCACTGATGTTCCTGCTGAAACCTCCTCTCCTTTATTTATTGCAGTGACCGCCCCTCTGTCCCCATACCCCACTGCGTGCCTGGCTCGTAGGGGGCTGCTACTGGCCCCTGCTGCCCATGATGCTGCCCGGGGGGGACCATGTGGGGAGGCAGCACAGCGGGGATGGGAGGGTGGGGGCTGGGGGAGGCCCCTTGTGAAGTTTGAGGGTAAAGGGGGGCAAAACCCCCTCRTAGCCAGGGCACCTGAGTGCCGCTGGGGCAGAGCTGGCCTCCCCTCTGCCCCAGCTGTTGGGGGCTGCTGGGGGTCCCCAGGAGCTCAGAGCTTGCACCGTCCCTGCTGCTACCTCTGTGCCTGAGCCATAGTGCGAGTGACAAAATAAACCATGCTGCCCCCCGCCTGCGCTGTGCTCACTGCAGGGGGGCAGTGCCACACCGCTCCAGCGCCAGCCTTTATTTCTCCTCCTGCTGCTGCATCCCGGGACTCTGCCCTCCCCAGCACGGCCCCTCTAGCGCCCGGGTGCTGCCCCCTGCCCGGCCCAGCTTTGCTCCAGCAATGGTGGGGATGGAGCCCCAGCTGTAACCCCCTTCCCTCTGTGCCAGCCCCCTGGGGCAGGGGCCAGGCTCSCCCTGCAGTCCCCGCTGCAGGCGGGCTCCAAAGCCTGGGAGSTGGCAGTAATTCTGCCCCTTCCCCATCTGGGACTCAACCGCCCCAAGGGGCTGGGGGGCTGGAGCATCTCCCCTGCCCCAGGGGTAGAGCTCCCTTGGCCGGGTGCTCCTGCCTCCTGTCCCCGCACAGCCCTCGCTCCTGGGGAGGGCATCGTGCCCCGTCCCGCGCCCCGCTTGCTGCCCCTGCCGCCGCGAGTCACGGCACCAGCCACGCTCAGCTCAGCACCTTCCTTTGCCTTCGAGACGGGGGTTAAGCAGCTCTGCCCCGCACCTCTTCACCGCGCGGCCGTCACGGGGCTGTCACGGCGGGCCGGGCGTCCCCGCTCCGTTGCGACGGCAGCCGCAGGCAGCGCGGGTAGAGCCGCCCGCCGCCGTCCTGTGCCCGCTGCTCTCGCTGCTTCGCCAGGGTGCTCGCGGGCAGGGGTCCCCAGCGCCCCAGGGAGCTCCAGAGATGCCAAGCGGGCAGGAGCAGAGCCCGGGCCGCCGCCACGCAGCTGCGGAAGGGCAGGGCGGGCG